TTTGAAATGTTTTTAATTGCAAAAGAGAAGATTGTTTACAGTGGATGGAACGGTGTTTGAGAGCCCTATGTTGAATCAGATAGAACATATATGGGGTGCCTTCAAGTCAGAAGTGAAGAGCTTCTTGCAAGAGCATCGCCAAAGGGTCATAGCTGGGGATCCGAACAGATTGCTCAACCAGATAGAATTCAGACTGCGATGTCTTGAGGAATGTGCAGATCATTCAATGAAAATGATAACACCTCAAATGTGTTTATATTCTCATAATCATGTGCAACGCTATTATCTTCCAGCGATTCGGATGGAAGGCATCTGTGGATTGAATTGAGATTATAATTATGTTATTGAATTGTTTTTGACAAGTTGAATATTGTAAATATGGTTTATTAATCTCACATACAATTGGAAACATTTCGAACAAATATAAGGATTTTTTCTGAAATTGAACCTACCAATTCTGAAATACAACTTACCATTTCTGAAATTGAATGGACTTTTTCTGAAATTCATCTCACCGATTCTGAAATTGAGTTTACCATTTCTGAAATCGAACTAACCAATTCTGAAATCGAGATTACTTTTTCCGAAATTGAAGTTGAAAAGGTATAGTTGGAATGTTGAACCTAAAACCTATACCAACATAAGCTGTAAGTTTTTATCATTATTGAACAAGAATTCTTATGTTTTGGCCATTTAGCCTGTGCATTTCAATCTGTCTATCCTTTTTCAGTGATTCAGTGTCTCCAAAATGAAGCTGAGCTCATAAATGCGGGCCACCTGGTTTTGGCTGGTCAAATGGATGCAAATGATTGCATTGAAGTATAATAAGTATTATGCCTCATTATGTTTACAGTCCACTGTGTGTGTCAGGTAAGAAGAACTCTCCCTAATAATGATATTGGTAAACTCCTGAAACCCAACTCTATATCATTGTTTCCAGGAAGAATGTGGGATCTTCCAGAGATATATAAATATGCTTGGTTGACACAAAAAGCAATCAACAGAGGGACTAATACAATCAGTATTCCTATAGATGAGAGGCCCTGTTTTAAGAAAAAAATGAATAGACCAGTTATATGAAACATAATGAATATTCTCAATTTTCCTATCACAAACAGGGTGGACGAGCAACTTCTTTTCTGGAAATGTCAAACCTGTCCTTGGTAGTTGTACTTTTCAAATAAATGTCACAAAGATCAACTATTTATTTGTGTTGTATGTACCTACATGTTTGCTTCATAACTGGCACTTTAACCGAGGATGGCATTTTCAAACGGGACACCCTGTATTCTATTCCATAATCGGTTACGGATTATCATAACGAATTCAACGATACTGTGTTTGATAGGATTTCTACAAACGATTAGGAAGATATTCACATTTCCATATCCTCAATGAGCATATGAAAACTTGGAATGCAAATATCTTCGTAATTGTTTGAAATAACCCTATCCAATCCGGTACCGTTGAATTCGTTATAATAGTTCCTAATTCATTATGGAATAATATACATGGTGTTCTATATTGTTAAGGATATTTAGTAAATATCCCTGAAAAATATCTCATGGATATTTGTGAACAATATCTTATGGATATATCCCTGAAAAATGTCTTATGGATATTTGTGAACAATATCTTATGGATATCCCTGAAAAATGTCTTATGGATGTCCCTGAAGGATATCCTATAGAAGTCCAACTCCTTCCACTCGGCACGTCCATTGGACGTCCATAAGATATACATCGGATATCACTGGATATTCTCTGGATATCCCAAATATCCTAAATGGACGTCCAATGGATGTCCATCGAATGTCCGTGTGTTGACTGGGACAGGATGGTTTTTGAACGCGGCGCTACATGAATTAGGATTTTTTTTAATGAAATACCCTGTATTTGTTACATGTTTTGATTTATCATTATTCTCGTCTATACAGCAAAGTTTTGGGCGCTGCCCAGTATAAATCGGAATTATTCTGACAAATTATAATACACATGTGGATTCCAATATGCCTGCTGGTCTTCATTTTAAAAATTTGTATCCCAGATTATGTAAGAGCTTCGATGATACTTCGACTATCGCTTCAATGAAGTGAGAACTCGCCATTGAGAGTTATCTTATTAGTGTTAACCTTTTCGAATGATCGTAACTTTGTTATTTCAAATGGAACACCCTGTATATTTCAGAAGAAATGCATAATAGCGATTATCGCAAAATAATCACAGTTGATAATAGTAGGATAATATCATAATATCGACGAAATGATATCAACTATATGGAGATAATTTATCTATTTAACATAAACTTATTTATATACAGAAGTATTAAATCAACTTGATTAATGAAATCAGGCAGGGCCAGAATAACCCAATCAGGCCCCCTAGGCGATGCGATTGTTGGGGGCCCCACTCCAATTTAGTTTACCCTTGTTTTAATTTTTGAAACATATTTTTCTATAACAAAAGTCGAGTCGATCAGATCGACTCCTTTTGTACCCTGTTACTTCAATTTCGTGTGATAAATTGAGACAACTTTGTTACCTTCAATAGGCCTTTTCACTTCATGTAGATGACAAATGACTATCTCTGTTTACATCTCGCATCCAACGACAGTGGCGGCCATTTTCACCGAAACACTTGGTAACTTATCTCTGACTTAATTACACCACAGTACCACACTCCTTTTAGTAACGAATAAGTTACGTTCTTTGTAATTAAATTATTATAATACAATATCAGTACACACCAGGATATAAAAACAAGAATACTATGTTGTTATTGTTGTTTCTCAACGACGAATGCCCATGGTGGTTGACACTGTTGACATTTGACAGAAGGTCAATAATACCTGCCATATTCGAAATGGCCAATCATCATTTTGTGTTGGAACTAAAGCCAATGAGACTTCACCTTCGCATTACCCAATGAATTTTTGGATCTAAAAACGGGCGCATGCGTCTTAAAAATATATCTAGATGAAAAGGCCTATTGATGCTACAGCATCACCTCTCACATGCCTGACTCGGCTCTGCAACGATAACAAAATAGTGCGTGACAAAACAGCGCGAACAAAACAGCGCTGTAACAAAACAATAACGCACCCTTTTGTGGTCACTTTGGAGACCTGCAGAACATCTCTTCCCAAAGACTCGTTCATTCAACGAACAGCGAGGCTCTGGAACACATTGCCAAGGGAAGGTGTCCCCCGAGGCATATAACTTCCAGAAATTTGAGAAGAACACCAATTCCTACATCATTTCCCTTGGTTCTCACGATGTTCTCTGAACATTATAGGATATCCTTTCTCGTGGGAACCAGAACATAAAAAAAATTGTTTGAATGTTTTCATACATTTCAAACATATCTCATTAGCCATTATACCTATCTATCAGTGATTGATTATCCAACTTATCAAGTGAGTCACTCGTTGCGTCGTTGCTGTGAAAAAGGTATTCTCCAATTACCATATATGGATACGTTATTGGATGTTTCAATTTGACAACACCTATTGCTTGTAATCAGTGGAAAAATAACATGATGAGAAAACTAATACAATTATTGAAAGCTCGTTTATTTCCCGTTCCTACTTGGAATATATTTGAACGCAAAAAAAAATGCCATCCATCCATCCATCGTTTTATAAATCGATTATAATCATCTGAAAAAAGAACAAAATCGTGATCATGATGGATCAGGAAACAGAAATGAGACGCGACGCGGTTATATTTAGGATTCGGGAATAATATTGAGGGAGTATAAACATTTTCAAAAACAAACTCGTTCAGTGCACAGGGCCCCTAGTCGGTGCGGGGCCACTAGGCAGTTGCCTATAGTGCGCCTTATGGCTAATCCGGCCCTGAAATCAGGAGTGATTATCAATGTGTTTTTCTCTAATTCACCTAAAACTCGACCCAATATTGTTTATCAATAATAATTGTCACATATGTCTCAATTAGCAGAATGACATGCCTTATAGCAATGATCAATGACAAAATATGATAAAAAAATAGGTTTATATCTCCAGAAATACAGACTTAATATAGGGAATATGACATCAGATGAAAGGGATTGTGAATTTGCCATAGAAAATAAGCATACGCCATCTATCGGGGAGTTCTTGAGAGCTGTCAGAGCGGCCTGTTCAATTTGTTCTCATGCATTGGTTCACATTTATTTTTTGTTTGTGCTTATTGATCACATCATCAAAACATTGAGTTCATTGTCAAAACGAACGGCTCAGAAGTGTTCAAGTTGCTGCCGTCAGGTGGAGCGACGTGCTATTCCATCATGAATTCGCGATAGAAAATAACACTTTGCTCTACCTGACGGCAACAACTTGAACACTTCTGAGCGGATTGTTTTGATGATGAGACCAAGAAGCACAAACAAAAAACATGTGAACCAATGAAAACAAAGTAAACATGCCGCTTTGACAGCTTCCAAGAACTCCGATAGGTGGCGTACGCTTTATCCTGGTGAAGTATACAGAGTGAGTTATAACCATTTGAAAAAGTCAACATTAGCAGTTCATTATAAATAACCCTGTAAGATAAGTCTCAATTATGACTTCATAAAATATTCCAAGTATCATCAAAAGCTGGTGCATAATTTTAGCTGAAATTTTGAAAATCGAAAATCAGAAGGTGTGTTAGAATCAACTTCTGTGTATAATAATTTTTCAAAACAACTCTAATTAACTTGACGTCCCAAAAAAATTGCACAAATGAAGCATGGTTGAAAAAAAGGGTGTTAAAAAAATCATAATTTATGTAGCCCCACCTTAAACATTCTGCAACATGATTTCAACTTGTAGACCTTATGATATTGTTCTGTACCCAGAAAAGATTTTGTCTATCTCTTATTAGATTAGAGCTATAGAGATTTTTCACACTACATGGACACCTGGTATATAGCTATTATGGTGGTACTGGTATTATATTTGAATATTTGGTATAATAATTATAATATAATGATAAAAGTACATCAAATGAGGGTACAATCTCAATCAATAAATATTTGTGGCTTAAGTTGAAGCCTATCAATAACATGCTGTGGCATGCAGAAAGTAGGATTAACTTTCTGAATTGATTCATGGCCAAGAAGTGACATAGCAGCTAGTCCAAAAAGAGTATGGAATGGATCAGCAATATCTCCGGGTCTGTCAGCAAATCCACCTGTTTCTGTATCTTGACAAGCCAAAATGAAGTTTTTCAGGGAATCTTGATCTATCCAATGTAGCCTCCCCAAAATAGTGAGGGTTGAGAGAACCCACCAAGAATAACAAACATCAGGTAGCTTTTCTGGTCTGCCATTCAATCCACCTGATGGAAGCTGACGTTCACAGAGCCACCAAGCTAAAGTATCACGATCAACAATATCTAATCTATAAAGTTAATGATGTGGTTGGAAAAACTGACAAGATAACTGAATGAGATAGATTACCTGTTGGTTATTGACAAAAAGCCAACACAACAATATATTAATCCAGCATGGCTCTCAGATAAGGGTCTTGAACCAAATCCTCCATCAAAATTTTTGCAAGATGCTACAAAGTCTACTGCCTTATTAACATCTATAGCATCCATCCTATTTAATAATGATAGTGTAGCAACTGCACAGAAAGAAAATCTAGTATCAATCTCTCCCCATTTGTCTCCCATGAAGCTACCATCCTGCTGTTGTAGGCTTTTTATATATCTCACAACTCCATCAACATCTATTGCATCAAGATAATTATAAATACAAAGTATTTGGACTGCACTGAGGGTGTGTAATATATGAGGGTCATGTTTCAAACAAGCACTTATTCCTCCACTGCTTGGATCCTGACACTTTTTAATATACTCTACAAACTAAAGGGTAGGTACATAGGAATATTCTAATGATATATCAAAACATTACATACTTCAAATTGTGGTGGTAGACTATTAACTAGTTCCAAGGCAGTAAGGCCCCAGTACATACCAGACACACGAAGGTAGTCAGTCATACCATATTCATAACTATTATCTTTTTGGCCATATTCTTTGATGAATTCTATATGTTTTTCAAATATAATTCGTGTGGGAATGGCTTCCTGAAGACTGATATCTTTTATCAACGTTGCCATTATTAAAAATAAACAATAAATTGCTGAATTTGTGAATTTTGTTCAGCAGCAAATAGAAAATATAACAAATTTTAGTTAGCAAGAGTTGCTAGAGTCTCGGCAAGAGTAAAACAAAATAAATATAACCTAGAAGAGTAGAAGATCTTCATCGTCCCCTTCTCAATCTTCTCATTTTGTATTTCTTGGCTTTTTGACTCTTTGCGGTGGTGGTCTATGGCAATACCATTGTGACACCTGACACCCTAGTTGCGTTTTATTTGATCTATTCTGGTAACCATGGTGAGTGGGTTATTTTGAACTTTTGGAGGTTATAAGTTCTTTGGGAATATTTTCATTGGCAAAAAATTCCAAAGCTTTGTTGTTCGACATTTTTCAAGTTTAACGATGAAGGGGTGTGCTGACTGGGCCTGTCGAGTTCGTCTGACTGCTATTGCTAGTGATGGAATTGAAGCAGAGTGGGATAGTATCTAAAGAAAACCGAAAGGTCGCAGACTTTTCTATGTTTTGATGAGGTGACAGAGTTAGTGAGTGTGACATCACCAACCAGGCGAATGGCTCTTCTCTGGATGGAATCTAAGAGAATGATATGCGCTATGCGCTTTTGTTTCAGAAATTTTCTAATTCTAATAGATGGCGACATTGCACACCCATAACTTCTGTCAGTTTTGAAATTGTCGCAGATTTTTTCGAATTCAGAGTTGTTCAATCCCACTGTTACATATGTTCCGCGTACCTGAATTATTACCTTATTTCCACTCGACACAGCAGCAATAGCAGCATCACCATCTAGCGGGAAAATGTAGAATCAACGTCTCGCTCGTTGTGACGTAGAGAAATCATAGTAGGCCAATGAACTCAATGGCCGGTCGAGTGATTTTTCTGAAATTTTCAATAAATGTGATAATGGCCGAATACGCACACCATATCTTACTTCCATCATTTCTAAGAGCATCAGCATATGTTTGTGTGCTGAACCCCATATAAATGAAACGAAAAACTTCGGAATCATTTCAAAATCATAATACTAAAGTTAAAAATAAAGAAAATAAATCGACGCATATTTGGAGCAATGATTGTGGGGATTGGAGAAAGTTCTCTAGATAGAGAGAATTCATTTTATCTGGGAATGAATCATAAACTTGTGAGCCTCACAATAAAAAAAAAGTCTCATAAATGTCTTCTACTTTCAAAAAGTTTTGTTTTTCTTCAAACCAATTCCATTTTTTGACAACTGTCAACAGCCAATTCACGTCATTTCTTGTAGTGAGACGGTATTAAAAGTAGCAACCGGAATCGGAAAAATGGATAAATAAAAAGCAACCACTATGTCAGTGTCAGCCGGTGTCAGGTGTCAAGGTGCCGGGTGACTCAGCTGTGCATTGCTGTCACTGCTGTCAAGATTGTCAAGTGCAACAAGATCGTGATGGTTGATTGATGAATGATGAATGAGGGATGAATGGTGGTGAGTGACCGAAAGATCTAATTAGTGACGGCGACGGTAATATTTGATTTGAAATGGCTAGTATCGGCTTCAGATGGCTAGATATTTTAGAAAAAGAATTCGACAAGGCCTTCGTAGACTTAGATCTCGCAGTTGGTAAGTTCATACATCACACAATTATCAATATTTGTGTTGTTTTCTCGATGCCGAATGTCCACATTCATGTTGATTGAATTAATAATTCAAACCTTCATTTCAGCTGATTGTCCCATCAGTTTGCGTGTATAATAAACCAACCGTTTTATTTGAGTTTCAGTTTATTTGATTAACTGCCTTGTCCTCCTGATTTTTTTAAATAGTCTGAAAATACAAACAAACCTACTTATTATTTTCAGGAGAGCTAGAATCCGAAGAACCCAATGTAGTATTCAGCGTACGTCAGAAGTTATGCACCCTCAGCTCTTGCTTTGCTCAACTTACACACAAAGCACAGACAATATTTCAAAATAGCGCCAAAGTAGAGGTAAGTTATTTTTTGTAGTAATATCAGTGCAGGCTGGTAGTGTGTAGATATTACCTCCGGTACTACCAATTATTATCTTCAGACTATATGCATATGCCAGTTGTTTTTTAGCAACTACACTTTTGGAGTGTGTCCTCCAGTTCCTACAAACAGGAGCTAAAGTTACCTATTTTAATTTAATACCTAAGATAGTAAGTCAACTATTATTGAGTAATTTTATTATTACAAATGAAACAGAAGAAAGTCCACTTTTCTGCACTCTTTTTAGTGTTGAAAGAGTCATTGTTCCTCACTAGTACAGAAAAGAAAATATGTTGAGTTTCTGGGGAGTATCCTGAGATTCAAATATTCAATAATAATAATTGTTTCTTTATGTTAAATTTTGGGTTTTTCCTGCAAGCTAATAGAAAAAAATAGGGTACTTAACTGTGCAGTAGATAGACTTTTTTGTAAAATCAAATTGTATTAAGTTACTTGATTTTATTGACTATTTTCTGATATTGTGATAACTTCAATTTCTTGAGTATATTTTCTCTCCAGCAGAGCCCTTGGAAACAAGCTACTCTATTGATTGATTTTATAGCATTGCTGATATTATTGCACTTTGATTTATGCAAAAAAACGCTGGTTCTGCTAGCCCAAGGCATTACATTAGCAGAATCAGTAGAAGCCCTGCAGAACCACTTGAAAAAAGTTCAAAGATGATAATGTGAAACTGATTGTACCATAATTTTTCTGCGGAAAAGTGAGTGCGGAAAAGGTCACTTTTACGCACTCACGTCAGTGTTGAAAGATTCACTTTTCCGCACTAAATTTTTTTCCGCACTCAGTGCGGAAAAGTACATTCGTTAAGTTTTAAGGGAATATACTGAAATTTGAATACTCAATATTTATATTTGTATGATTGTAATTTACATAATGACATAAATGGGAAATTTTATTAGAATTCTGCTATAATTTTTGATAAAAAGGAACATATGTTTCAATAATTTTTTTACAGCATGATAATTTAAGGCTCCTTTTGCCATCTATCTTTAATATATTTGTACACTTTTTTCAATCCTACTCTACATGGATGCCAAATTTCATCAAAACATCTAAATTGGTATTACATAATATATTAATAAAAAAACTGTGACAAAAACTGGTTATTTTTGAAAACTTTACCACCCTGTTTCCCAAATGTTCAGATGTTTAGGTCATATATTCATGTGGAGTATTCTGGTAATTTTGCACTTATCATGTGATGGTTTTTTTCGAAATTTTTTTTTGGTACTTACGTATTTTTGTCTGAAAAACACGAATTTGATAATGAAAATGTGAATAAACCATTATTTATTAAGATATATAGTTACACATTTCACCTTCTTTTCCACCTGTCTTCTGGATCGCATTTTTCAAATCACCCTGTATGAAATGTATGAATTGTGATTCATGATGGAATGAGAATAGTATATTGCATGCCTAAATAATTTTTTCGATATTTCATTATTACATCGAATTTTTAGACATCACTGAAATGTTTATATGTTTCACTCTGTAAACAATTACATCATCTGAACCATCTGAATTATGTTGAGTAATATGGAGGTTCGTTAATGAGCGAAGAAAATTGTACTTGGCATCTTTGAATTTCGAGAAAATAATTAAATGAAAAATACCGATTTGTAACTTCAACGCCCTGTATCTCAGAATCTGTTCATCAAAGAACTTTACGATTCTGCAGGTTCAATCAGTTCATCGAATTCTACAACATACTGAAAATTCAGAAAATTTCACCGAGAACCATTTTACGTACTAAAAGTGCGGGGTCCTTTCTGGGGCTTTATATCGACGAATGCCTTGATTGGCATAAAAACTCTGAAATATTGAAATCTAAACTCGTCTCTTTTTCATATCAATTCAGAAATCGGAAGAACGTTCTCAATAGGATACAATTATTGAATTTATATTGATGTCAAATTGAAAGCCGACTTCGTTACGGTATTTGCGTATGGAGTCTATCCAGTTCCGCACAAGATATTTTTATTGCTCAAAACGCGTTGTTCGTTCTTTAGTAGGTGTGTCCAAGAGAACAACATTTCGTGACATTTTTAAGAACTTCAAAATTCTGACACTACCATCATTACTCATCCTAGAATCATGTCTATATGTATTTCACAATAAAGAAAAATTCCACACGAACATTTTCCGCCATGGAGTTAATATTAGACAGAAATATGATTTTTATATCCCTTTCAGTAGGTTGAATGTAACGAAAATCACCGCAACGCAAATTTTTAACGCTCTACCTAACGAAATAAAACTATGTAAGACCTCCAATTGAGGAACATTCGTATTACTCCGTCGATGAATGTTTTCCTCAGTTATTTTAATTCGAATCTGACGTTTTGAATATACTGTTTTGCTTTGTGATTTTAAATATTACCTACAATACCAACTATGTTATCACACTTATCAAGAGTAATACTATTTTACTAGTGTTGTTTTACTTGTACTATTGTACTATCCATATTCAATTTTGTGTTGTTTTGTATTATATTTAGATATAAGTTTACCCATTTGACTATTCCTATACAGTTTTTTTGCATCTGTCTACTGAAAAATTGAATCAATAAATATAGAAGACGAGAGGTGAGATGCAGGACCTTGTATATAAAAACGTCTAAACAGCAGTGTCAAGTACATTAAGGAACTCTATAATACCCTAGAACTCGCATAGAACATCCAAGAAATAATTGAAGAACATTCCACTTTTCTAGCATATTTAGACACTATTAATTTAATTATTTCTATACTATCCATCAGCAGTGTCTGGGGCAGCTCTTCCACGCTAAGTGAGTAAAACCTCCGGGTATGAAACTACTTATCAATAAATTCGAGATATATCCGTAGACCTTCAATATTTATTTTATTGAACATGTTAGTGAACAACGGCTTCAACAAGTTAAAAAATATATACATTCTTTAGTCACAGCTTGAGATAGATTTGAAAACAAACATCAGGTAGCTTCAGAAGGTTCTGCTGGTATTCGTTTGTTTCGGTTCTGTTTTGTTCTCTATATTTTCGTGGAAAGGATCATCGGTAGTTGTAGTTGTATATACATGTGTAGTGAATATTTCCTCGTTTGTACTGTCTTTTATAGTATCTACGTTTTCTGTTGTCGATTCGAGGTAATCAATTTCTGAATCATATTCGTTCGAATCACTCTCACTCCTGATGTCTATATCATATTTCTTCTTCTTTCTCTTTGGCTTTTTATTCTCTTCTTCACAAATTTGGACTGTTCCAGCTCTGATATCAATCATATCTCTAAGTTGCTTACATTTCTGTTTTTTCGGGATATTCGCAGTCGTCTGATTTTGATTCTTCTCGAGACGGGGTGGTGGACCAAATACTCTCATAACGCCATGTTTAATTTCATCTGTGATTCCTTCAGTGACATTTTGCTTTGAGCCTAGAGACGTTGAACGATTTTCATTGGAATTATTCTTCATGATCACCTCTATTATTTTCAGGACTTCGTTTTTGTGAACACATGTGTTCAACGTGTTGTTGTTGATTTCATCAATCATGGAGGAAATTTCTTTCGATAGCCTATGTATTTCTTTGTGGATATCATGATTTGTGACATTCCCATTGTTGGTTCTTGGACCTGTTGCATTTGATTCGATTTGATTCAGCTTGTCCAGTATTTTCTAGAACAAACAAATACAGTTATTGAGTTCTAATCTGTGTTTTGGCTGGGGGATAGTGGGAATGTTTTATTTAGGGATGGCAGGGGAAAGGAATTATTGATTTTTTTATAAAAAACATAATTTCAAATGCAATTTCATCATAGAAACGAGAGAGAGAACGAATATCCACCAGTATTAAGAATTGAAAATCATATATAGGAATTCCCTTTCGTGCACTTCTAGAGATAAAAATTAAAAAAAAATTTATAACCAAGTAATATAGACCTAAATAAGGAAGCCAATAGTATGATTTCCTAAATTGTGAAAATGACGTTCAGCAGGTTGAAAATATAATCGAAATAGCCAATGAACTTGATTAAATATTGTGATGTACAGGGTGGGCAAAATTGGGCGTTTTCACCGTCTATCTCAATAACTAGAGGAGTTATCGAAAAACCGATATACATGTTCCGGGTTCGATTTCGGAGAAACCTCGAATAGCACAATCAAAATTTCGATATCTTCATTCGTTTTAGAGATACAGGGGGAAATTGAAAATTTGCCGATTTCGATTTTATTTTCTGACTACTTTACAGTGAGAGGTATCAAAAAATTTCGAACGTATATTCATACAGTATGATGCGTGGAATCCATTGGCATCATCAGAAATTTTATACAGGGTGACGTTGAAAAGATACGGCAGTCAATTATGTTTTTTCTAATGGAACACCCCGTATATTTTGGCACAGTTGAATAGTCCCAGGCGTTCTCATTACAAATATATATATATAACCCTACCTTTTCCTTCCACAATTTCAGATATATTCGCAAAAATATATTCAGTGTGTCACATTTCTTATGGTTACACCCCCGTATCTTCTGTAAGAATAATTGATGGAAACATTAACAATCATAATATTTTGTGGCAGAATGCCTGAATATGATACTTTACCCATTATTTCTAGTATGCCTTAATATTTTTGCGTTCAAAGAGATAATAAATAAGATATATATTTGAAATTGAAACGGGAACTTTCCAGCTCTGCCAAAATATACGCGGTGTTCCATAAAAAAAATTGTTCTGTATCTGGAATTTGGACATCGTTTAATCAACCCACCAATTCATGTTCAGGAATTTTATGAAAATTCTGTATACTCCACTGGATTCAGGATGTCTTGAAATATTACTGATCACAGTTTCATCGAAATTTGTTCAGTAATAAAAATTGATGGGTTGATTGTTTGATTAAATGGCATATTTTTCAAATTTCATTCCTTTATAACTTTTTTATTGATTGACGCATTTCAACGTAATTTACATGTTACCCATTTGAAAATGTCACAAATCCAGTGGTGTAGTCAGATTTTTTCTAAAAAAATCGCTAGTAATTTTTTTAGATTTTTGACCTTGAAAAATCAGACTAGTTGGCCCTGGAAATGAGGATTTATTCATGATATTCGGTGTCCTAATAGACTTTTTGAATATCTACCTAACAAAAAAAAAATCATTCCAATCGGTTGAAAAATGTAAGTTTTATAAGGGTGCTTCCATCTTAAATGGGTCACACTGTATATGAGTTGAATTTTTGGATGAAAAATAATTGAGTTATTCATTATCAAAGTTTACCAAAAAACCGAATCTTTCATTGAAACTGTCCATTCAATTTTTTTTTTGTATTGAGCATGAACGATTTCAATTTCATGATAAACAATACTATGCCATTTTCATGGAGCTTGAACAATATATTAACTTTATTTCAAATTCCACTATATTCAACTTACATTAGATGATATGAAGTGAAGGTCCATAATGTAGTATTTTGGTAAATTTTTATCATCAATAACTCAACTATTTTTTATCCAAATATGCAACTCATATACATATTTGAAATCTGAAGAAAAAGGCTTTATCGACATGTCATAAATTATATAGGGTGTTCCATTGAAAAAAAATTGAGTTGATGTCCTTTCTGGAAAAACGAATGACCCTGTATATGAAAGAACTTCATGAAATGAAAGTTTGGGTCGTTTCACACAACTTTTTCTCTTAACTTTTCTTCATATCTCTGAAAACGAAAGAGTTAAGGAGTGGTTCCATTATAAGAGGCGCACCCTGTGCATACCTGTACATAATTTTCATGATATTATTTTTTTTTCTCATCGAAAAGAAAACATGAAGCTGAATATAATATACCGAGTGTCGAAAAGTCTGGAAACGGTGAAATATTTCGAGCTTTAACCCTCTAGGGATGGGTGGGGGCATGAATGAAGAATACGTGCGCTTTATTTTGGTTAATTTTTTTCGATTTGTGATAGATGGCGCTATAATCGCCAAAATACGCGGATTCGATATTTTCAAATAGCATTTTTTATGTTATTTATTGAATTCAGAAGAATGAGAACATGCGATAAAGAAATATCTATTCAGTATTCTGAGGTTGACCCCTCACTGGTGGTGGTGGGGGTGATAGTGGAAGTGAATTTGTCGAGTTTAATTTTATTTGATTGCTCTTATGAAATATTTGATATAATAATGATATAAGTAATAATAATATAAGTTTGTTCAAAAACGTTTACAAAATATACATTGGAACATACAGATAGGTATTTTGAATAAACTGGGTAAAACCTTAGAAGTGAACCTTGTAAGGATAAAAAACAAATGTACATAGGTCAATAAATATTTAACAATATTTAATTATCACAAGGGAAAAATTGTCTCATTATGAAATGAGACATCATGTATTTAATTCATATATAGTGTACTGAGCATTTCATTCAATTCGCATAATTATTTATATTTACATATACTTATTTACAATTATTATTTAGATGTTTCTAATTATATCATTGAATGTTGATTAAAGAGAGAAAATCATTTTTTAGGGGTTTTTTTATTCATTGTTTTCATAATTTCAATAAATAAAATGCGATCACTCGCCATCCATCTATTACGAATCAAAAAATGTCAAGTAAAGCTTACGTAGTTTAGTGCAGAATGAGATTTTTTTAGAATCATCAAACAACCCGTTGACGAAAATAATCTCGTATAGTACCATGATTCATTTTTTATGTTGAGTCCCATATTGTTTGCCTGTTTGGTATGTTTTTAAAAAATGTTTCGTCCTTATTATCGTCACATAATATTTCAGGTACCATTGAATGATGATGGCCGTAGTGCCGAAACCGGTTACTTTTGACTGAAGATTTTTATATAAAGTGTCGTCGACCGACTGTGTGTTGCTTGTTTTTTGTTTTTGAAATTACTTTGGACCACTTTGATATATGGACGATTTTCATGAGTTTTGTTGTTGTTATTCAGGATGAGCGATTTTTTTTCTCGAATAAAATGTTGGATGATGTTCTGCCACCAACATTTCCAATGTTCCGCCACCAAAATTCCAAATGTTCCGCCACCAAAATTTCAAATGTTTCTCCACCAAAATTTCAAATGTTTCTCCACCAAAATTTCAAATGTTCCGTCACCAAAACTTCAATGGTACGTTTTTATTCCTTCGAATAACTTTCTACAGTGCTTCTTATATCCAGAAACACGGCAGTGTCTTGCACCAAGTATTTGTTTGAATAATTACATCCAGAAAGACACCAAATACTCGTATGAAATGAAATTTCCAGAGAGGGAGCGTGATAAATGGTTACGAGTCAAACAGAGTCACTTTTGATCCGAATGAAACATGCTATTTTTTCTGCAATCGAAATAATTGTTATCTAATTAATCTGAGTAGCTTGAGCATGACAGTGTCAAAGCAGCTATCATATCTGCTGTCATCCGACACGTTTTTAGTTCTTCGGAGTTAAACTTCAACTTAAGCTCCTAGACACTAAAAGTGTTGCCTAGCAACATACACACTAATCATTTTATTGTGTCAGTAAGAGAAACGACAACTTCAAGACCAATTTTGGAACACGATGGACGAATTTTTTGAGCCGATTGCAGAAAAAATACATTAAAACATAGAAAATATTAGCACCTCTGTTAATCAGTATTTACTATTTTTTTCCATAAATATATCTGAGAATATTCCTTTTCAGTATTTACTATGTTGTGTATTTATCAACACACTTTTGTTATGTTATTTTCTATTTCATTCTAGTTTGGCTATCTATTGAAGCGTGTTTTGTTAGTTCTAAAACTACTATTTATTTGAAAATATTTTTTTCGGATAATACTTCATATGTTCAATAATGGTAGATTGTTTTATTAGGATCAAAAGTGACACTTTGTTTGACAAGCGAATTTTGCATTTGCGAGGCGGAGCGTTTAGCGAAGCCAAGCGAAAGCAAAATTTGCGAGTCGAACAAAGTCACTTTTGATCCGAATGAAACATGCTATTTTTTCTGCAACCGGAACAATTAACTCAAATAAATATGTGAAGTTACCACCAATGCCGTGCCATATGTATGCAATGCAACAAATATTGACAAATAATCCGTGTAGTGAGAACAGTCCAACAGCAGGTTCATTCAATTTTCAAGGATGTTCGAATTGTAGTTTCAATATAAGTACAATCACAGAGTGACATATTTGTGTATGGACCATCAGGTGCTCTAATAGCAAATACCGCGCCAGTGCCAGCTATAGGAACAAGACGTGGAAAATGTTAGGTTAATGAGCATATCAACAATGATAATGGCGATTATTTACTCCTCTCTATAATACAATGTTTTTCGCTTAATAATCAAATGAAGCTGAACAATATCGTTGTTTGAGACAAAAAACTATTGCTTGCCGTGATTATTCAAAAACAAGTTATCCATCCCGAGAATAACGAATGAAATACAGATCAAGCAAGTATTTGAATCTTGAAGGCTTCCCTGATCAAACAAAAACACTTAGCTGAGATGTTTATAATTCCAATACTAAACTATAATAAGGTGTATTTATTTCTCCAGCATGGGTATGAAATTCCAAATCTGCTGAAATCGGAAACTAATCAGGTATGCGTCTCAACCCAAATACCCGACCGTCACAATGTTGTTCATTCTTGATGACGTCCAGT